GAACATACCAGGAGTTTTAAGGTTTCTTGGACTGATAGGATATTTAAAGGATTTAAAAGTTTTTATCCAGTAATGCATATTGAATTCACTTTACGCCATGTTCATCACGCAATTTATACGATTTGAAATGAAAACACATTTACTTAGTTTTTATATACCACATAACTCGAGATCGGCTGTGTGGGTGTGCCTATTTTGACAACATTCTTATGTTTTAAAACGATGAGAGGATATTTCTTTCACGGATTATAGGATTTGCAAAAAGGAAATTACATTAAATCTCTCAGTGATTACGAGAAAAACTATGATGCCTCTTTTTTGGATTCCATTTCCTTCCAGCTGGAATATCATCTTTGATTTTGTCTTAAATATATTAATATTTCATTTCAAGAAGTGTTTTATTAGGGATGATTGGCTGAATTAATGTATATTATCATATAATGTTGTTTCTTTCCAAGCGATAGATAATGAGTTAGAAAAAAATATTCTTTTAATAAAATTGCTTCATAATTTTCTGGAAATAATAAAGATTCATAATTTTTTGGGAATGTTTGTATCTTAATTTGTTTGTTTGTCTGTTTCGATTTGATAAGATGGGGAAAGATAATCTCTCTCGGGTTTTTGGTAATTTACTTTTGAATTTTGATTTGTAATAACCTTTAAATATATAGCACCAACATTTTCATAATCTAATATGACAATGTCTTGTTGTGGAAAAGTGTCATTATCTTAATTTTGACAGATACATATGGTCGGTACAGAGAAGGTTTGAAGAAAAGCCCTATGACAAAAATGTGTGGGCGGAAAAATTAAAAACAAATATTTGGAGATAAGAAGCATGTAAAAAAAAAAAAAAAAAAAAAAAAAAAAAAAAAAAAAATCTTTTTTTTTTAAAACATGCTATACAGAGTTTAAGATATAGGAGAGGAAGGGGAGATGTGGTGTGAGACATGACGCGAAGAAACATAAATCAAATGAAGTGTCACAAGGTGTGGAAAGAGAGTCAACTAGATAGCTGCTTTTCTGTAGACGTTAGATATAGATAATTTATATATTAAGTGGGTCTACTCATCCATGTACTACATCTCTGACTTTTTACCAGTGTGTAAAGCACGTTGCGATGAAGTTTGCAAGCCATCATTATCAAGTTCCCAGGTACATTTAACAGACTAAAATGAAAAATAAATAGCCGTATCCAAGGAAACATATATATAGGGCAAATAACCATGAATATTTCAACTTAATTTAATGGCCTTTAGACCCTTTTATCGATGTTTACGGTTCGTATTTTTTGTCAGATACCTGTCCAAGTTATCAAATTACATCGCTGATAGTACTTCTTGACAAATTACTTGGTTAATCTGTACTTCACAAAATAGAGTTGGAATGATATGGTACAGTTTTTTGACAGGTAGTGTAATAGTCATGCTTGTTATTTTCGAGAAAATTGACTAGGATTCATAATTACCATAGCTGAAAATCGTCACCAATACCGATTTAACAATGGCAGGATATTGCAAGTAGTTATAGTCAATTATAGATGATTGCAAAAGGAAGATGTCATTGCAACACAAAGATAAACACAATCTTGTACAAAACCAATCTCTACAAACTCCCACGAGCCCTCGAAATTAAACGAATTTGTTATACTCTATACATGCAAATCCATAAATATATAACCACATTTAAAAAAAAAATATTTCTGGTAGATATGTTTTAGAATAGTGTAAATTGCATAAAACTGATAAGGCACGATTTTAAAATGAAGTCCATCCTGGTTTCAAGCAAATTTTATGAAATATGATCAAACAAACAAAATTATGAATACACTCTAAAAACTGAAATGTTAAATCACCTTTTAAAAGGGCCGAGGAGTGACCACTCTTTCAAAATGGTAGACTAACACTTTGAACATGCTGCATCCAACACTATAAAGTTTGAATTTAGCAGGTTAAAAGAAACAGTCTGACATTTTGAAAGAGTGGTCACTCCTCGGCCATTTTAAATGGACATTTAACATTTCAGTTTTTAGAGTGTACTTATATTGACACTGACACTTTTAGCAAATACTGCAAATGATGACGAACCGTAGAAGAAAATTATGCAGGTGAGCTTTATAATCATTATCATTTTTAGGCTCTGGATAAAGAGGACCGTTACCACCTTTAATAGCTTTAGAGAATTTTAATTAGCTCTAGATAAGTTTGAAAATCCGAATTTATTTTCTTCCTTTTTTAAAAGAGGGGGAGTGGGTGTGCTATTTTGTGTGTTTTTTTTGTTGTTGTTTAGTTTAATCCTTTTCCTAACAATATTCATGCGGGGCTTTCCCAAGCATTGTATTAATTTGTTGAAGGTCATGTACGCTCAAGGCACTGGCCTAAATCTTTCAAAGCCATACTTATACATGAAAGCACTCGTTTTTATTAACATTTAAGATTGATCTTGTAATCCGCCCAGCCTCCTCCCTTTTCCCCTCTATCGAGACTTGGCAACGGATGCTCCTCATTTATGCACCTGATCGCATCTTTTATAAACGATTTGATGCAAAGAAAACTTGTTTCAAAGCTAAAGTAATATCAGTCTTGAGAGAGAGAGCTATACAACATAAAGAGTTTATTATTTGCAATTTTATCACTTTAGACTCGATTTTAACCGCGACAACGATCATCATTTTATTTTATTGTATTTTTTTTTATTTATTATTATTTTTTATTTATTATTTATTTTTCTTTTTTTTTTTTTCTTTTTTTTTTTTTTTTTTTTTTTTTATTTATTATTATTTTTTTTTTTTTTTTTTTGGGGGGGGTAAACATTAAACAGAGTCAACAACATGTTTCCGTTAAGTAGCAACTTGTATCATCGTATGAGTAACAATGTCCCCCGGCCCCCCACTCCGGGGTCGAAATGACCACATGCGTGTTACCAAAATGTCCGGTAAAGGGGTACTTTTCGTGCGACAAAGTCCGGCCCGAGAATTGTAAAAAAAAAAAAAAAAAGGGGTGTATTTGACTTTTCACCCGGAGATTTCTTTAAAAAGGGGGTGTTTTTCTTTCTTTTTTTTCTCTCATCTCTGTGGACTCCTGAGAAATTATTTCGAATTTAGGGGGGTACATTGAGAATTTTTCCGTATTTAGGGGGGTCTCCAAGGCAGGAAAAGCCCGCGAAAAGCCCGCGAAAGGGGGGTTCGGAAATGTTGGCAGTCCTCAGATAGGAGGTGCTTTCAAAAAGAGGGAACGAGCATACGCGTTCCCTAAATAACACTGAGTGGGGGCCGGGCAATGTTCTTTGTCTGTTATTGTCATATACACAAGTACTCAGCGTCATAATTTTATATTAAAGCAAAATATTCCTTAAATTAGATCTGCACAATTTCGTTATTTATCTCCAGAGTACGTGCTGACCGTCGTGTCAAACTTGAAATAAGTAGGTCGATATAGGAAAGTTAATTTGGGGTAGATATAAGCTGACAGGAATGTCGGCATTACACAGTGCGTCCCAGAAAAAACGAGAATTATCGATGTTTTATCATAACTTAGTCATATTTATAATTACTAAATGACACATATTTGGAAAGCTTAGGTCCTCCTCTTTTATTTGATGCAACTCATATGATGCATATTCCACGCATGAGTGATTAAAATGAAGGGAAAAAAAAGAAGAAAAAAAGAATTACAAAGTTCTGGTTGTTTAAAGTAGTGCTTGCATTTCCATAATTTTATCAAACAAATTCGTTTTCACTGGGTGCCTGCTGTTACAACAGAGTTGACAAAAGTCTAAACTCCATTTCGTTGACAATCAGCCATAAACGAAAGACTTCATGCATGGTTGATTATCAACGAAACGGATTTAAGTCTTTTGTCAACTCTGATTTTTGCTACGGCAGGCACCCAGTGAAAACGAATTTGTTTGATAAAATTATGGAAATGCAAGCACTACTTTAAACAAACAGAACTTTGCCATTCCTTGCTCATTTTTCCTGATTGAGGTGTCATATGAAAGGGCAGAAACTCAACTTTTTGGAAATGTGATTTTCTCTTTGAAATTCAAATACCGTCCGCCAAATTACTTTTTGGTTTCCTCTCTTCAAATTCATTTTAATCACTCATGCGTGAAATATGCATCATATGAGTTGCATCAAATGAAAGAGGAGGATCTAAGTTTTCCAAATATGTGTCATTTAGTAATTATAAATATGACTAAGTTGTGATAAAACATCGATAATTCTCGGTTTCGTTTTTTCTGGGACGCACTGTACAGCAATAGGGGACATTGGAAGACGTCGGAAGTCTTGGGTATTGACGGTGCGGTTTGGGGCGTATTTCGCGACGACGATTACACCATGCTCGGTTTAATCCCATACTCATTCTCCTCCCGACTCCAACGAACATTAGGGTGTCACTTTTGCAGACATTTGAGCTGCCCGGAGACATTAAGAGAAACGTGGCTATACAGAGTGGCACAATTGCTATAACTAGTTTCCGCGTTTTCATGTTATTGCTGATGGCTGATATGCCTTTTGATATGTTGTAATTTAAATTGTTGGGAATAACGTGACGTCTGTCTTATTGGTACGGGTCTTTTCATGCCTGCTCGATTCAAAGAAAATTTGTTTCTAATTGGACACAACCAATTGCTGTCTGGCGTCCTTATCATTAGACTTACTTCCTGACGCGGTTGTGCATTTTGATCCTCAGGATGACGAGTATTTCGATTTATCCTTTGCCGCCCTCAATGGCAGGCGACGATAATCATTTTAGAATTGATTTTTCAAAATGGCACCGTCTGATGTGTTCATCATAAATTTCAATGATTTTCCAATATGCGAGTATGCTGCACCCCTCCCATCTCCCAATAACGGATTTAGGGGGCGCGTCCGGCCAGTGCCCCTCTTTTAAAACACAATTAAGATTACGATAATCTAGGTACAGATAAAATCATACTCGATGCATACCGAGTATGTCGATTTTCACATTTATTGCTCATGTGTGCACTGGAGAATAAACAAACAAAACTAGCACTCATTTTGAAATTCAACACTTTATCACGATTTATTCAACGATGCCAGAATAAAGAAAAGGGGAAGTTAAGGTGCATGGAAAAGGAAGATTCGTGAAGGTAAAGAAACAGGATACTAGCACGAGAAAATGTTTAATTTCTATTTCATAAATGAGCTCCTACATTTTGTGAAAGCAAGCTTTACTTAAAAGAAAAAGAACCTCAACAATATTTGTCTCTAATTCTGATCCAGGAACTCAATATTAGGTGTAGGATAAAAGCTGACTAAGAAAGAGAAAGAGAGGGAGTAGAGGCAAAGAGAGATAGAGAGAGGGGGTTAAGGGAGAGGGAGAAAGAAAGAGAAAGGGGTTGAACCTAATCATGGCCAACTCTTCTGACTACATAAAAGACAGGATTAGGTGATAGAACAAACAAAATATAGGCAAAATTAGGGTAGGCCTTGAGTCTCTCAATGTTACTCCAAGTATTCATAAAGGAAAGCTTACATCCCTTTAAAGAAATTTTGATGGATTAATTTTTGAAAGGAAGACTGTTGACAAAAAGAGAAAAAAAACAATAAAAAGGGAATGTGAGATGGTTGCGGTTTAGGTTTGAGGTAATCTATAAATGATTTTTGTGCATTGAATCCTAATCAATTCAACGATATGGTCGTAAATTATGTAAATAAAGGAATAATTCCAGAAAGGAAGGAAGGAAAAGAGGGAAAAACATAGGGAACGAGAACGAAGAACATGAGCGCAAAGACCTTCGTAAGAATCAACTTACGCAATTGCAATGGCTTTGTCCGCTCGCATTACAATTACATATTGCGTAATCCAGACATGATCTCTAGGAGATATACAATATAGTAATTGAAATCGCCCTTGAGTTGATTTCTCGAAAGTTTTTGCAATCGTGTTAAAAAATGAACTGGCTTAGAGATTATTTCAATCTGTCGTTACGGGACGCAGCGAATCGACATACATCCACTCCAGGGCTCTATAAGGGGACATGAGCTTACAGTAGTACATCCCCGCGAGGCTGGCTACGGGGAACGTCACGTTCGTGTACAGTGCACCAGAAGTCACCTGCGGAAAAAGAAAAAAAATAAGACGGTGAAAAGCAGACAGAATAAAAAGAAGATTGGTAGGTAGAATATAAAGAAGTGTGTGATAGGAATAATACTATAACAATACCAAAAATCAATTCAATGTCCGGTTCACGTAATGTCCTTGTAATATCCACACATTTCAATAGGTGATAAACTACATGTAGGCTACTGAAATACCTTTTAATTTTTTCGAAGAATTTTGCGATCATGACTTGTGTGTTTAATGACAATGAACGTGAAAGGGTTAGTGATTGATGTCATGTTTGAGTACAATTTCAAACAATTGAGAAAGAGTCACATTAACAGAAAACTACATAATCGAATTAATCCTCTTTTCCGATGCATGTGACTGGTTAACTGCACACAAAGTAATGTTTACGATTTTTCTAGTAAATTATATCAAATAAGACATGCTTTGATAAGGAAGGACATATAGGAGATCGTGTGAATAAGCAAAAAGCTAGAGATAGGGAAAGAGAAATAGAGAGATTGTTAATAATTTGCAAGCTGATACTAAAAAAGACAACTGTCATTATATAAGATTTTAAGAGGTTCTTTCAAGAAATAATAATACGAATTTCCGACAAAAAGCCACAACAATTACAATTTCTATCATGTAAATTTCTTTTATAATACATGTAGTGGATTTGACAAAAAAAATAACTATATTTTCTAAATGTGTTTAAGGAAACAAAAAACAGAAGCTCAACTGATCTGTCGTAACCAAAATGTGAAAATATATTTTTTTTTAATGATTTGCAAATTACAAATTAACTAAATATGGAAAAATGGGAGATTTTTGTGGTCAAGTGTTGTCAGTACTAAATAACGTTCTTTGGGCGTATATCCTTATTCATACTTGACACTATACCACTATTAAAGTGAATAATGGAAAGCCTCTTGAACAAAATTAAATTTGCTTTGTGTTTCGGTTCCATGTACGTACTATTTACGAGATAACGAGCTCAAGAATCAAGATAATTACACTGTAACACAAAAGAGGATAATAATATACACAGTTGTTGTTATTGTTAGAGACCTTATTATTACCCGCCCCAGACCTCGGGGAATTATCACAAAGCCATAGCACTTTGCAAATTACTTTGCAACCTCTTAGTGGTGTAGTGAATTACGTAATTATAATTTTCAAGGAAAAGGGCAAGGTACTAAAAACATAATAGCTGGAACTCTAAAAACTTTGCACTCAAGGTAAAAAGCCTTGTTCTAAACTTGCCTCAAGGGATCCATCGCTTTGCGTCTCGTACTCCACGTGTGAACTAACCCATTGTGAGCCAGTAGATGTGTTCACATCATCCCTGAAAACCATTTGTTTTCCTCTTGAATCGTATCGCGATTGAACTCTTTCAGGCGCTGCATTATACGCATATTGGTATGCTTCCTATATACAAAAAAATAAAAAGAAAGATTAAGAAGTTAACAGGTTAAAGCACGAATAAAAAAAAGTACGTGATGCTTGGTAAATCAGGGGTACTATTCCATTGCTTTGTATTTATCTATATCGCATCAATCTTTATAAATATAAAACAAAGGCTTTTCAATATTCTCTCTTAGATAATTGAGAAAACGTCATAAATACTTTTTGATATTCTTCCCTAGATAACTGAAGAAAAATGTCATATAATATGACAAAAGATCTCATTTTCCCTTTAAAACTTATAATTATTTTTATGACATTATTTTGGCAAGGCAAATTATATTATATATATTTCACACATTCGCGTGAAAGGTGTGTACTACTTGCAGTTCCTTTGGACATTATACCCCTCTATCTAGGAAGACCCGCATTCTTCAATTCAACTGTACACTACCTCATTGCGAAAACAAGAGACGCAACAAAACTTTTGTCTCTTTCTATTATTATGCTGATAGAGCTCTTTGACTTTGAACCAAGTTTGCTAAAAATAAGTCGCTAGGTTTAGAGAAATGATATTCACTTCATTTTCAATTACATTAAGCAGTAATTTTGTTGATATATCAAATAGACTAAGTGTATTTTTTTTTTTAAATAACGAGAATTGACGCTCAACGGGCAACCTAATTTCTTTCTTTCATTTTTGAGGTGAGGTTGGGGGTATGAGTCTTTCATCATGAACATCGTGTCGTATCGATCAAGGTGAATTAGAATCTCATCCTCGAGTACCTACTTCATTGATAACCCGACAGGTGGCGCTATCACCATATCCATCTTCCTTGACGATCCTTTTAATTGCCTCCTGGTTCTTAAACTTCCCAGCGATCTCATTGGCCGAGTCCATGAGGGAGGAGATGTCGACAGGGTTGCGTGGAAACTCGGCTTTTGACCTGGTTGCTATGATGACCATGCCATCGGAGTCCTTGACCACAGCGGGCTTGGATTCTTCGAATTGGCGTTGGTCGGTGTACCCGATGTTGTAGATGGTCACTGGGGTCGCGAGGTCAGCTGGGAAGGCAGCAACAAGCTCCTGGAAGATCAAAAGTTAGTCTTCTTTGAGCCAGAAGGACATTGACTGGTATACTTTAATACAGGATAAACTCCCTTCTGGCTCCCAACTTATTCAAAGTGACAATGGAGGTTCTATACGACTAATGGGCGGACTCCTTGGTCAGTTGGTCATATTGGTCAATATCCTACACTAGCCGATTTTCCACATTCAACCCTGGACCAACCACTTTACCTTACCCTTATCCTTAGCTCAATTCTACAAAATCTAAAACCCAATTTCAACGATAACCCTTAACCTATACCTTTCATTTATGACCCCCCCCCCCCCCAAAAAAAAAAAAAAAAGTCAGGAGCAACAATAATGTTTTTCACGTATGTATTACTAAAATACTGGTCCTTTATCTGTTGTTTATTATCATTTAAACCCTTTAAACAAAAATCTCGCATTAATAATAATTACTCCGCAAATCGAAGGGGTCCTCTGGGCATCTTATCAAAAGATGATAAACCTACAATTTCTAATCGAAATTTAATAAATAATCAAATCCCACTGAATATTCGAAACGATATCCCCTTTCAGTGTAATCCCAGTCGTACGCATAGCGTTGATTAGATTTTTATATTTACCAACGGCAATAGGAGAATTAGGCCAAAATCTTTGAGATTGTTGTGCTACGGTCATACCTTCACGTAAAGCCAAAGCCGTATTATTTACTAGTTATGATAGGGGGATGGACATAGATGTGGTATTACACGGTATCTGCCTTGAGATTAAAGATAAACTTGAGTTCTGGTAAAGCGATTGCATTGTGAAAGAAAAGGTGTGGAATGGATCAGAAAAGTTGATCATATAGCATGTAAGTAATGGTGTGTAATGCAAGGTTCTGGAGTCATCAAAATCATCATAAATTTAGCAGAGTCTTGGTAAAGTAACAATCACTTACACAGAAAGATGTATATGGGACAACACACACGGTGTCGGAGCTAGTAGGCCTACTACCCTGATTTCTTTATCTTTCTATGCTCATCACTCAGCCAGTATACATTTTCTTCCAAAATTGTTTGGCACATGACATTTATTTGTAATCTTGAACATTCAGTGTAAGTTTCGTTAGATTCTGTGAGAATTCATTTTCTTTTTTTTTACCAGAACTCAAGTTTATCTTTAATTAGCATTACGTGGGTCTCTGAGATGGCGAGTGTGTGACTATTTTGTGACACTACGGAAGCTGCGTGGTTCCTATGGAATGTCTCCGTGCCAGTATTTAAACAAACGAACAAACAAACAGAAAGAAAAATCGTTCCCATGTTAAAACTAATGATTATAATAATGATGATGATGATGCTAATAACAACAATAATAGTTTGATGTTTATAATGCCTCTTTCAGGAGATGACGTGGCACTTACGACTAGGCTTTTTCGTGAAGTGTGACCACAGCACTAGAAGCTGTAAGCAGGACACGGAATGTTTACCAGGCGCTACAAGCTTCCGATCTCAAAAAAAATAGAAGGGTCGATTTGACTGGATGCCTTTAGATTCATTTCATTCCAATCGATTTATGTTGGATCATCGTTTGGTTTGTTTATTAGCAGTATACTCTAGGGACTAAAGCGCCCCATTTGCAAGGAAATATAGCAATCAGGAGAATTGTGTTGGGTAATTTCTTGACCTTGTATCTTATAAAATACTAGACAATCATAGTCGGTTTAAGATTTACCCTGGATTTACCCTTGAATGCCAAGATCAAATTTAACTTTGTTTGTTATGACATAAATTAAAGCACTTCTTATATCTTAAAAGGGGATTACAACTATTATTACTATTTTCATTATTATTACTATGATGATGATAAATATTTTAATAAAATTATTACAGCTTGAATTACACACTCATGCGCGCACACACACACACACACACACATAATACTTATAATCATATGTAAAGTATTCAACCTGTTCAGCATTATCGAGGAACTTATAGTCTAATATAAGTATAAAGAAGAAGTAGATATTAGGAAAGAATATCGAAAACAAATTTGAATAATTCTAGGAAGAGAAAGAGATAGGGTGCGGGGGTCGACCATACGTCAAAACTGATGGTTAAAAGTAATCATAGAAAATCCGTACATAATTACGGTATAGGTTTTTAAACTATAAATAACATGCGATCAGATAATTAAATGTAGTACATAGACAACTAAATCATATCTATTTAATATGCTATATACGATATTTAACATTTTGAGTGTCAGACGCAAAACTCTTCTTTGTATGTAGTTCCAAGTTCAGCAAGATGAAAGCGAGTTGTGAATATTAACCCTCTAGGTAATATACAGCCTAAATGCAAAGCACCGATGTTGTCAATTTCTACGATAACACTGCTACTGGAGGCCTCATCAGTTTTCATATCAAAAGAGATAGCGGTGACGTAGGGGGGGGGGGGGTGGATCAACTTTAAAATAGGTCTTAAATTAAGGGGAAAGGTATCAATTCGAATCATTTGGTCCGCAGGTAACACTTGGGAATGAGATACAATCTAAAAGAGAACGATTCGGCAAAATTGATGATGACCTTTCTTACCAACTCCTCAATTATTCTTGGAAAATCATATGACCAAGAGCATGATGGAAAGATATATTTATATAACGCATCATTTTTTAAATTGCTTATAGAGAGACAGCCGGAGAGATAATAACTATTCTATTCAAAGTTACCTTCCGTCGCTGTTCTATGATCAGAGGCGGATAAATGTTGTAATGGAAAAGCGAAAGTGATGAAATTGAGAAATAGATGTAAGCTAGGAAACTTAACCTTAAGGCACAATGTTTGCTAAAAGGTGAAAGGGTCAAGTACAATTTTCCTCGTCTTTTGTTAAATATAATTTTCTTTACTTTTGGGGGTTCCACTAGTGAGGATTACATCACATGTTGATTCTGAAACGTCTGCCGTTGCGGGAAATCACATGCTTGTAGTGTTAAATAACTTAAATTAATTTCAAATTGTGCTTGTCACCCATTTAATACATACCTCGTGCATCTTTGTTTTTGCTAATTCAGTCAGTTATAAGAGTATCCAACACTTTAGTTAATCTCAACCTGTACATATTATATATTGTTCCGTTACTGTCTACACTAATTAGGTTTCAGTATTGCAGCATTTAATAACATCTATGTCTGTTGCCTTCTGTTCTCAACATAATAGGCTGTGAAGAAGTGTAGGAATCAACGTGTCTCACATATGTGTAAAACAATTTTTCATTTCTACGACGTAATTTTATGTATTGAATGTTTGTTTGAATACCGTGCATGTTTGCCTCAGTATAACGTTGCTCATGAAAGATCATCTGAAAACACAACATCATTTCAATCTTCAAAGAAAGCAGATTGCACAGCCGAGGACAAACAGTGAATTTTGCATTTTTTCACTTTTTACCTTGCCCCTCATTTTGATCTATACTGTACATTCCGTGACTGAAAAAAACTGGAAAATAATTTGAAGGGGGAATAAACACACTTTCTAATGGTACTAAACATAGCAATGATTATGCTAGAACAAGAGAGATATAATTGATCTTATATGAGTTCTAAAACTTTTTTTGATGGGTTTACATACAGACAGGCAATCCTGTAGCAGTGGCAGATTGAAACAAGACAAGTGGGTGCGGTTTAACAGCTGGAGCCAATGACCGGAGTAATAATCAATTACAATGTAAAGTGTTCAATATAAACGTGGTATTTGATTAGCGCTATACAAATGTGACTATTAATATTTACCATTCGTCCCAGGTGAGGTAAATGAGTACCTGGCTTAAATCCCTCGAAATGCTAGAGCGCCATAATGGCAGCCATGCTTAAAAACGGGATAATAATTGTGGAACACCTACAGTGTTTCACAAATTTTAAGATCCACTTTAAGTTAGACTTAACTATGGCAGGCCAATCATGCCACTGCTTGCTCTCCCTATTAGTCTCTCCATTATGATATTTAGATAATATTTTTTACTTCAATAATGAACTATCAAAAAATGTAAATTTTGTAGATGTGTGACCATGCTGTCTACGTCCCTTGAAAAACCAATGCCATGGATGGTTAGAGGAACTAGTGGCATGAACGGCCCGCCATAGTTCAAGTCCAACTTAAGTCAATCTTAGTCTTTGTTGTGAAACACTTCCCAGGAGTGTAAAGTCTGACAGACATGAGCGCTTTACAAGAACACAGTAGGGACTTTTAGATTCTGCACGACGAGAACGTGGACTGCCCTTTTAAGGCAATGTGACGTCCTTTTAAGGCACTGGCCTTGACGTCACATTGCCTTTAAAGGGCAGTCCACGTTCTCGTCGTGCAGAATCTAAAAGTCTCTAATAACATTATGATATTACCTGTGCATCTGAGATCCAGGTTGAAGCGGTGCCGTTCCACTCCAAGTCCTTGGCTGCCGTAAGTGGCGCCATTTTCAATTGAGTTTCATAATGGCGTGCTGCCAAGTTGGTAAACGTCGTTTCTTTATCCACATCAAGATTATATGACATAAAGTCTCTCATCACCTATTTATACAACAACAACAAAGCAGTTAAATGTTAGAAGCAACTTTCTCATACCACCAGGTTTTTTAATTTAGTTAGGAAACCATAATAGTTTATAGTGGACCACATCAGATCTCAACTGACCATAACGGACAATAGCACATATTGTTCCCTGAACTTTTAAGCTAACGACCATAATGAGATTTTAAAATCCACTTGGTTTGTGATTCTTACAAGAGGGATTTTAAATTTATTGGAAATTATTTTAAGCCTCATTCTCGTGACCAGTAAATGCAAATTACATAGCCCCATAATTTAAAATGTTTACTCTAAAAACTTTATTTAAAAATATATAAAAATTGAATAGCAAATCAAAATAGAAAGGCAATAATCTAAGAATACATAGTCATATATAAATATTCATATTGATTCCTTTGTGCCATTATAACAGCTTTTCTTGATTTCATATGATTTTGTTCGACAATTTGTAAATACTGGTAATGTACTGTTAATATGCAAATACAGGTAATGTACTGTTAATTTGCAAATAATGTTCAAGTCTTTTTTCTTTTGATAGACGATAACGATTAGCATGTTGTTACCCGAGCCAGCAGAGTCCAGGCTTCGGTAGCGGTAGCATCGGGAGAAATGTCTCCTCGGACAACAGCTGGGGGTGGGTCACCTGACGCAAACTGGAAGTGATTCACCCCCTCTACGACAACGACTGGTTTAGTAGCAAGGGCTGTTTCGTCCTTCAGTTGCAAAGCCTCTAAATCCCTGCAGGTAAGAAGTTACAACAAATGTAATGAATTACATAAATGTTTCGATGTGGATTAGAATATTTCGGGGAAAAGAAAATGTCCTTGGTATTACAAAAAAAGTGTTTATGTTGTTTGACTTGATTTAAATGACACCGCGCTCTCTTTTTCCACGGATGATAAGAAGAGAGTAAATGAAGAGGTAGGAATAGTGAAAGTATAGTCGCATGAGAAATATTAGAATAAGAAGTGGTAGTAGTAGTGGCAGTTGTAAAAAGAGAAGCAAGAATAGTAGCAGTAGTTGTAGTCACTGTCGTCGTCGTCGGAGTAATGGATGTAGAAATAGCTGTTGTTTTTGTAGTAGTAGTAGTAGTAGTATTAGTAGTAGTAGTAGTAGTAGTAGTAGTAGTAGTAGTAGTAGTAGTAGTAGTAGTAGTAGTAGTAGTGGTAGTAGTAGTAGTAGTAGTAGTAGTAGTAGTGGTAGTAGTAGTAGTAGTAGTAGTAGTAGTAGTAGTAGTAGTAGTAGTAGAAGTAGTAGTAGTAGTAGTAGTAGTAGTAGTAGTAGTAGTTGTTGGTATTATTGTTGTTGTTGCTTTTGTAGCAGTAGCATCAGCGGAAGCTACTACAAGAAGTTTTAAAAGAAGGTTACCGATTTGCAAATGTCTTACAAGAAAAAATACATATACATGTGTGTACTTAAATAAATAATACAATTAGGTAAAATTAATAAAAGAAAAAAATTACGTACACACCTGAATGGTTTTGCTATTCTTGTGATCTTGACCTGGCCATCTAGATCCCCACTCAGGTGCATGATGGGGGTGGGGTAGGCAGCAAGGTCATCCAAACGACCCGTTAGGTATGACGCCCATAACATTACGCCTTTAGTCACAGACGGACTTCTGCTGACGTAGCTCTGTAGAAATGTTCCTAATAGGAAGAGGTAGAACGAGATGAAAATGATATGAGATGGACATCTCATTAAATGTTGAGGTTAAGATGTTGAAATTTTTATGCCAGTGAATAAATTATGATTAAAATGTATACATGAGACAGATACATGTAAATAAATAGGTGGGCATATTAGTGGTGGAATAATATACAAATTATGCACACTCTTTTATAAAAATTAATAAAAGGCATTTACATTCAATGTACACATAAAACCCAGTGGTGTCTTCCATATTCAAAGGGTTAATCATTTTTTTCGCGGTGTGCTTTGTGTAGTTCCAGTTACAGGTTCCTGTTTGAAAATAATAGGCATTTTCTCTATAATTTCCTTGCTCATCATTTTCAAATCCGCGCTCAGTGACATGTTTGCGGTATACCAGGAAATCTTTTTTTCTTCGAAATTTCAAATCATCATGTTAACAAAAAATCGTTTATCTTCGTACTAGGATATCATCGGGAGAAAACTATAATTTCAAAACTGACACATTTCATCGCAACACAAAAAGAAAATTATCAATCATAGGCCTAGTATTAATGACTATGAAACATCAATTAATTGATGATTAACTAGTTTCACACTGTTCTTACCACCAAGAGAATGACCAGCAAAGAAAATCGGTGTATTTTCAGGCATACCAGTGGATACAAGATCGTCTAAAGCAATATTTATTGCTCGGGTTAGCTGCATGAAATGACAAAAACAAAATATATCATTACCGCACAGAAATATTAATATTTTTTGAGTTATGAAAAACACCCACACACATAAAGCTAATTATGAACTACTGTATGTAGTTGTTTTATGTAGTTATTGTTTTATTCACAACCATCCGTGGTCTTCATACCCAGTAGTCCGAAATCTGACAAAACAAAGGAACATATAAGAAAATATAGAAATGATTAAAGGACCATAATAGTCCACGAGACCAAAAAACCTATGAGACCGATTAAACAAATGAAAAAGGGAAAATAGAAAATTTCGATTTCTTGGGATTTCTTGTGGGTCACCCGTTTGGAAAACGCTCTAAAATTCTAGAATGCATGTGGCTAAAAAGCCCACATTGTACCCTTTTGCATTTTCACCCGCAAAATTGAATATACTTGAATGGATATATTAATTTATAAGTGAATGAATAAATGAATAAATCAAGAGAGAAAGAAAGAATATGATGAATCAATAAATAAAACAAATAAATATATAATCAACTAAATAAACAAGTTAATACATATTTTTACAAAATGAAATGAATAAACAAACTAATAAATATATGTATAACATATCATGTAGAGAAAGAGATATATATATATAGAGAGAGAGAGAGAGAGAGAGAGAGAGAGAGAGAAAGAGAGAGAGAACGGGGGGTAGATAAATAAATGAACAAATAATATGTAAATAAATATATAACATAATTCAAAATTATTAATTATGTAAATAAATATTAGATAAATATATAAGTGATAACTCAATCAATTGATAAGTCAATCAATCAATCAATCAATCAATACATGAATATTAAAATAAATGAATGGATACAATTTTCAAAAACAAAAAAGTATATAAATATATAAATAATGAATGCATGCATTCACCTGTGGTGGGAAGGGTGTGTCTCCGATGTAATCCGTGGTCAATGCAACCCATAGCTTGAGCATCGACTCACGCTGGATGCTCTCAGCGAGAGGTAGGTAGGCCTCTCCACGGATCTCTGCCCCCGGGATCACGATCAGTGCCGCCTCCACTCCCTGGTCGCGTACGGGTTCGACGACTACAGCCGAAAGGCCGTGGGCGCCCCATGGTCCGACAAGAGCAAAGACAACCAGAAATGTCCCAAACATCGTGATATCACTTGTTTATTGCACGGTTATAGTTATTAAAAAGAAGAGTAGCAGTTTGGTGATGGACTGCATATACAGCTGGCCTTATTGTGGTCATTGTGTCCCTACTTTTTATCTGGACGTCGGATAAGTAGATTAAAGGTGATATCTTTTGTTGTATAAAGGTCCTTTTAACATTGCCAGAAGATTAGAATATAACATGATGTAATATGTAGGTATTTTTCTGTGTTTAATATTCCACATTACAGTTTTGCCTTACATTTGTTTTTCGATACGTATCCTCATATTACCCTGTTTTGTTATGTAAGTTCAATTTGTGTAAGTTAAAAATATGTAAAACGACTAGAAACCATTATGTAAATTAAATTGTTATTAAAACGGAAACAAAATATGGCAACCTAACCTTGGAATTAAGCCAATGAGAACGTTCCTTCGACTCTAATCAACTCACCAATCAAATGACAATAACGCAAGTAGCTGCCCATATCTCAGTCACGCCGCCATACTGACTCCAAACCGACCGATTCTAGGACACTCTGAAAAAATTATAACATTTTTAATCAGATTATATTCATCAGATTGTGTAAATAGTTGAAATATACACAGTTTATATATGTTTCAGTTATATAATCATTACGTGTACATACAAAATTGTTTCAATTTTAGTGCATGATGTGCATCACACAGATACTTGTTCATGGTTCAATGATTAGTCTTCGTGATTGATTGTTCGTCATAAATGGTGTATTAAACGGTACCAACCTTTTGGTTCCATTCGCATTTGTGTATAATTTTGTCTTGCTGTATACAATGTATCTTGGATTTTTGTAAATAAGTTGTTTTTTTAAAGTTTAAAAAATCATTCTCGTCGGTGTGACCGGGGTATTACGTGCTCTTGTTACACAGGGATGGCCAATGCTAAGTACGTGTAAATGATATCTAATGTAAACAGCTAAATATCCTGTTGTCTAAAGTAAACAACGAGTAGATATGGGTATGATTAAGTTTGCAATGCATTTAGTTCGTGTATAATCCATTTTGTGTAATTTGTTATGGACAAGGCCACACCCTAACAAAAGATTATACTTTATCATGATCATCTTCCTTATTACTATCATATTTACTTTGTTACATCACCATCCTTATATTCGACATCACCATACATCATCATCATTATCCTCATCATAATACTTCTCCTCATCATCAACATCATCATCATTGTCGTAGTCATGAACATTGTCATTTCCATCATTGACACCAAAGTGTCTGAAGAGATTGAATAATTTAATATTCAATTTTATTTGGAATTCCAAAATCAACAGGGTGTTCAAAAGGAATTTAACACACACAAAAGCACTTTAGATGAAAAGTAGCAAAATATTGAACAGTTGAGAAAATATAGGATTTGTATAGATAACATTGTACTAATTTTTTTTTTTTCTCAGAACTTTATTTTTTGCTTGAATGTTAATTAACACCGCATTTTTTTGAGGCACATACACAAAATCATTGCCCTCTTCATCACCGGCTTCATCGTCACTTACATCATCATCACCATCGTTGTCGTCGTGTATATGGTCATTGCCTCTATACCGTTTTCTCTTGTTCTCTCCTTCTCATTATTCGCACTATCATCGTTGTCCTCAATATTTTTAGAGGAATATGAATTCTTTTCTTTACTCGAATTATGAAAATGTAGGGATGAACCAGGCCGCGATAGCAAATACTCTCAAAATAAAATTAACCAAAGGCAATAGGCCATTTTCGAAATTTAACCAAATTTATGTATTTGTGAAGCGCCTCGATATTAATTATTTCATTCACCTATTACGAATAAATGTAACTCAATGGTCAAAATTCAAATTACATACATTAGTTGCTGCTTGGTAGGACAAACATTATGGATTGCCCTCCATAACAACACGTAATATATGCAATTTAAATTTTACCCTGGCCTTTTTAGATTTTATACTTTACAATAGGGCATCGACATGAACCTTAAATGAACTGTCTGACATAATTATGAAAGTCTACCAAGGTGATGAGAAAAGGCCCTGCTGTTGAATGATAAATGAAAGATAATGCTGAAAAAAATATGAAAAGAGAATCATGTGGCGATAATACACATAATACGTGAAATCATTGCCGCTTTTTACCTGCGCACATCTGGGTCCAATACTAAAAAGGGTTGATATAAATCGCAACTATGTACACAAGAGATAGCGGACTGCAAACTTGTGATTGATTAGATGACTTGCGATTTATTTGGATCAATCGCAGCTCTGTATAAGACGGAGCCCTGGAGAATTTTGTTTTAATGCTACTGTATACATATTTTGTAAACGACGTTTTATCAATGACACGACCGCAAAGAGTTTTAAAAACAATCCATCTTTGGCATCTCAAAAACCCGGTGTGCATCACCTTATGAAATAGCCTAATATAAACTTGAAGATATTACGTAATCGGAACACTATTCACATATGTATTGGCAAAGGTTATGAAATTAACTGTCTGACACACCAAAGTCCTCCAAAGTTCAATTAAATTGATGAGAAAACGCACAGCTGCTGAAGCATGGTAAATAACAAAGTGTAGATAATGTTGAGAAAACTAATGTGATACCCACGTTGATGAATAAGCACACTCCATATAAGTCCTCGCCACAGGGCAAAAAGTACAAGATCTTCCTTTGCAAAAAATTATGTAAACAACGTTTTGTTAACATAATTATCAAGTAAGAAATATAGAAAACACCTTTTTTGTCTTTGGGATGTTAAGCCTTTTCACTCAAATGGGTTCTCTCATAAAAGAGATGTATATGTTTTGTTGTTGTTGTTGTTGTTGTTGTTGTTGTTGTTATTGTTGGTGTCGTTGTTGTCAAGAGTAACACAAATTACACAAAAGATCAAACAAACAATTGTATTACCTGCGATGACCAAAAGTCGATCGGTTCAGAGTTGTTATCATGGTATTGGGATTGGTTTGGCGGTGTGACTACTGACCGAGGTATTAGTTGTTTGGTTAGGTTGCTGACAAGGAAATCAATAAACCTGTTTCCGGAATCAACTTTCTTTCCTTTTGTCTGCCTCCTCTCATCCAAAATTCCCCTTTTCTACATCCTTTGAAAAAAAAGGAAACTCAAACGACCCTAAAATAATCCACCACACACTTTGCCGGTAAAGTACAGAGGCAATAGTGGGTTTAGTTGTGGAAAAGGTGAAAGAAATTTGCGAACTGTGTCTTTTTTAACATTCCTTTGAGTGTGATAATTTGATAGTGGGATTGTGTCATGAAAATAATTGCTCCCGAAATTACCTTTACATACAATTTTTTTAAAATACAATGGCACGAGCGTGAATATGATAGTGCCATATCCATAAAAGGTGAGGTGCCTTTTCATTGTGTTTACAATTTTAATAATTCAAAAACCTTACAATATTATCCACAATCTTACTTGTGTAGGCCTACTTCATGACCAATCTGAGTAACCGATATACAGTTTATTTAACGATAATCACACGGCCAGGACTCGAAAGTAGTGGATGTATATCTCTTTCGAAACTGGATTCCACAGAGGTAATGATAACAAGTTAAAGAAATAAAATTCTACAAAATATGACATGCAAGACCAGCACATGGTACAAATGACCCAAAATGACCTAAGATCTTTTGAAGGTGGAGTGATCCCACTTAACGCATTTATAGAATAACCATGAAAGTGCTTTTGTGCCTTCTGAAGGCTCGTCATATCGATATTGTCGGTCTCGTATAGCCGCCAGTATCGTCAGTATCATCATGTATGGGACTCAAAATCGTGAAGAATAATCATGATCAATAAAGAGTTTGGCATTGGGTTATTACTCAAGATATTTTAGCGATGATTAACTTCTTTTGTCAATACAACTGATGAAGAACGAGACCACCTGGTCCCAGCAAGGCTGATAGACTTATTTGCTCATCACCAGTGGCGTATCGCAACCTTGGCGTTTTGAAGGGGGGAGGGCAAAATTGAGCCAGTGATGCTCCTCGTATTTAAGGGTGAAGTTCTCTATTTACATGTTTTAGAAACCCTATTTTGCATGCACAGAGAGAGAGAGAGATAGAGAGAGAGAGAGAGAGAGAGAGAGAGAGAGAGAGAGAGAGAGAGAGAGGGAGGGGTAGTTGATGGACGTTCATTTTCAGCATCTTTTCTACTTCTTCTTTCTTCTTAGTTTATAAGTTTATACACTTGATGATAAAATTATTTCGAAATGATAGTATAATCCTATATGCCTACTAATAATTGTTATAATGTTATTCATTGGATTACGAGTTATTTGAGACACATTTCACTTTGACTCACAGTTTTGATGACGGTGCAACATGCATAATGCACATCCACAATATTTAAATATTCCCTTAAAAAACCTTAGTTAAGAATGCCGTCAGTAAAAAAAATATATTTTGTGGGTGTGTTACATAATAGCCTAAGATGAGATAAGGACTCGATTTCCCCTTTTTCTTCATATACCGCAGAGCATGACGGCGGTGCAGAAAAACTTAAAAATTACCATTATTTATCAGTTGTAATAGCGATTGATGATTAGTGGCCGGCCCATCTAATTTGCAAAAAAATCCTAACATTTATACTTGGTCGGAAATTTGTCAATGGCGGGGGTAACTGCCCCTTTGCCATTCCTTCCAATACGCCTGTGCTTATCAACATGAATCATATTTCTATCTTTATAAAATAAGAGGCTTAGTGACGTTGGCATTCCTCATTCTGACTAGTCGCATCCCTCACATTTAAGTGAAAGGAAACGGCTATTAATTTTGCTTTTGACATTTAAAAAGAGTGAGTTTCTTCAAACATCATCATCCAAAATGGCGGCTTTTAATATTGCCCATCTTCTGCTCCTATTCTCCATCACGATCTCGCTCCGTGGGTGTGTTAATGGGCAGACGGTGATCCTTCTGGATCCCATCAAGAATGGCCCTATGGAAGCTGGTTTGATCGTGGTCCCCGGAGCGGAGCTTAGAGGGGAGACCTACGAGCCTCTAGCCGCTCAGATCCAGGAAGCATCACCCCTCAAGCTCCATGTGGCTCTTACCACCGACTATCTCAACGATACTCCTAACCCGGTCCAAGTAAGTTATTCTTAATTATTTATTTATTTATTTATTTGTTTATTCATTTATTTCTGATATTTAGACAGGGTGACTCATTATCACCAATAACGGTGGTCTTCAACTAGGCCCTAGCTCTTAAACATGATGAGGAACAATAGTTTAAACAAAATATATATAACAATAATAATAATGATAACAAAATCATGAACATAAATTCATTAGAGCAATACAAAATAATTAAGAACATGTATAAACATATATATACCCTGTTACCTCTGTCGATAGTCTCATGTTTTATCTTTGCATTTCTCCTTTCTCTCGTCTCTCTTCTCCCCCTTTTAAAAGTGATTTCTTCTCTAATTTGAGGGCGAGTTGATTTTAGTTTTCTTCCGGTAGGTTGTTTGTTTATCAATTTATTTTAGTTGATTTTTTTATAGTTCGTTTGTTTGCCTTGATTGTGTAATATCGTTATGCTCTCTCATATCAATTTCGAATTTTTAATTCCTATTTTTACTTTCAGGTGGGGAATGCTATTGAGCGTGCAATCACCGAGCTCCGTAATGCTAATCTTCCTGACGATGCTCCTATCTTCGTGGCTGGACATTCACTCGGAGGTAAGGATTAATATTGTTTACAAAAAACGCAATAACTTTAATCCGGATCTAACCAATGCTAGTTGGGTTGGTAAAAATGTCCTGTTTTTTTAGGGTGCGAAAATGTCATCCTCTTCAGCCAGTAGGATGATTTAAAGAAGAAAAACAAATCATGTTTCAACTGCATTTAATTTGTTTAATTTCGTTTTGATATCGAAATATTCAATTTGCTGAGGAAAATAATAAATTCTGTAAAAAAAAAATTGAGAGGATAAAAAAGATGAAGAAGAAGAAGAATATTATAAGGAGAAGAAGAAGAAGGAAGAAGGAAAATGATAAGAAGGAAAAGAGGAAAATGAAGAGAAGACGGAAGTAGTAGAAGAAGGAGAAGTTGAAGGTGCTGTTGATGATGCCATAGACGTTTAGAAATGAAGAAAAAAAATGTCTTTGTAAAAAAAAAGGTACGATGTTAGTTTTTGACCAAAAACATTGCACATATCTTAAGCGTATTTTTGTCTTTTCTTCGCAGGAACATTTTTGCAAACATGGGTTGATAATAACCCTACCCAAGTGGCCGGTATGATGCTTTGGGGTTCATACCTGACGGGGGCAACAGGGGACCTAGGTGCCTACCCCACCCCCGTCATGCATCTGTGTGGGGATCTAGATGGTCAGGTCAGAATCACCAGGAACGCTCGCACTTTCAGGTTTGGATTTGTTTGTTGATTGGTTTGAATGTTTGTGATCTATTCGTAAATGTACATCTCTGAATGCGGTCACAACCTTTCTCTTTCATTAGTTTTATTCTTACTCTCTCTCTCTCTCTCTCTCTATTTCTCAAATGAATATCAATATTCCATTGTCGATATTAGAAAACACATCTTGTTACTGTATTGGCCTCTTACCTTGAATAAATTAATACATTCGTCACTCAATGAACCACCTTTTGTGACGTAAAGGTGGCGTATCCGGAATGTGATCTAATTGGGGCTGAATGTTCCCCCTTCTTAAGTGAGGGCGGAGCTAGGAGGGCGATCAAGGGCCGTGAATGAATAATAGTTCTGATAGTCTGAGCGACATTCCTTGATTTTATTCTTGTTCAAAATTTCCTTTCCTTATTTCTTTGCATTTTTCTTCTTTCAGAATAAATAAATCATATGTTTATTAGTTTGGAAAATTTTTGTTCGCTTCTCTGTGTTTCATTCAAACAGGGAGCTTGAAAGCTTGCTTGTGAATGGACCATCAAGTTTGATCGCAACAAGACCCGTCGTGCTGATAGAGGGCGTCAATCATTTTCAGTTTTCATCAGGAGAGAAGCCGCCTCTTGTCGAAAAAGAGGATTTACCTGCTGACGTCACAGCTGAGGAAGCATACGTTCTTCTCGCTGATGTAAGAAAATTTACTCCTCCTCCTCCTCCTCCTCCTCCTCCTCCTCCTCCTCCTCCTTCTCCTCCTCCCGCCCCCCCCCCCCCTCCCACTCCGGAGTCGGAATGAACCCATGCCTGTTACCAAAATGTCCGGTAAAGGGGTACTTTTCGTGCGACAAAGTCCGGCCCGAGAATTGTTAAAAAAAGGGGTGTATGAACTTTTCACCCGGAGATTTCTTTAAAAAGGGGGTGTTTTTTCTTTTTTTTTCTTTCATCTCTTTGGACTCCTGAGAAATTATTCCGAATTTTGGGGGGTTCATTGAGCATTTTTCCTGATTTAGGAGGGTCGCCAAGGCAGGAAAAGCCCGCAAAAAGCCCGCGAAAGGGGGGTTCGGAAATGTTGGCAGTCCTCAGATAGGGGGTGCTTTCAAAAAAAGGGAACGAGCATATGCGTACCCTTAATAACACTGAGTGGGGGGCCGGGTTCCTCCTCCTCTTCCTCCTCCTCTTTTTCTTCTTATCTTTCTTCATCTTAGATGGTGGTATACCCGGCCTCCCACTCCGTGCACGGAGGGATACCATGCGTGTTCCCAAACTCTCCGGCTCGTAACAAAAGAAAAATGTCTTCCCGGATTGACTTTACACACCGGACTTTGTCTGAAAAGAGGGGGGGGGGTCGCTGGGAACACGCATATGCGAATCCTTAAGGGGGGCGGGGTGGTATAACGTTTTTTTTTTAAAACAAGTGTGAGGACCTTTTGATTGTTAGACAACGATAATTGTCTCCATTGTCTGACACTATATTATTCTGGAAAATGAAAATAGCGGGTGCCACCTTCCCTATTGAGGTGCATTTTCAATCATGATATACATTGATTTTCTTTCCCTTAATGTTTTCTTTTAGCCCATCAACTCTTTTATGCATTACAACATGGATTATGAAACCAGTAACTCTATGGAAAATCTGAATTCACACTACATCGCCACACGAAACAAATTAGCGCCCCTTACGGCCATGAAGGACCTTGAATGGGACGGTGCAACTTCCCCGTGGCTCATTACAGCTCAGGTAAAGAACATATTTGTTTGTTTATTTTTTTCAATTTGTATCTATATATACATGTATATATATATATATTCATTTATTCAAGTTCATTCAATTTGTATTATGTTTTCATTTATTCAATTGTATTTATTTCAAACAAATAATAAATTTAAAAAAAATAAAAATGTTAATGATTGATTTAATTAAATAACACGGTTTGGATAATGAGATTAAATTTAAAAAAACTGCCAGAAAGTTACTATTGAATGTTGTCAATTTCTTGTGGAAGTAAAGGGTTAAAATGCATCCTTTTTTAAAATCAGGAAATGGTTGCTGGTTTCGATCCCAGCCAAGCCTTACCCGTCGTCATCACCAACGTCGGCTACGTCGACCAAACCGAGTTCGAATCGTCGAAACCTTCGGTGGATACCAGCGTGATCGAGACCACGGCCATGGTGTACTTCCCCAGGAATGTAGCTGACCTGTCCGGCATCAAGGAATCGGCTTATGAGATAGCCGGGAAGATGAAGAACCAGGGTGCCATCCAGAGCGTCTTCCCATCAGCTGGTTATACAACCCCTGCCACCTGCAAGCAGATCAACGAGGTGAGTTTTGTCTGATAAATTGCAGAAGACAACAAGACACATACAATAATTTAACATTACATCTCCACAAAAAGAAATCTTTGGGAGTGTCCAGCTCGACATAAACCATTTAAAAGTAGCGCAAAGAGTATATAAATTATGTATAGTTGTCTTATCAAATTGAGGATTCGACACTAAAGATAGGATCAATTCAATTAAAATCAAAGCAATCCCCTGTCAACTGCAGGCAGATCAATGAGGTGAGTTTTGTCTGATCAACTACAGAAGACAACAAGACAAAGACAATAATTTCACATTTACATCATTTCATGCGAAATTTCGTTGGTAGTATTCAGCATATACCAGTATATACCATGTATAGTTGTCTTATCAAATTGAGGATCAATTATTAAAGATAGAATAAATTCAATTAAAATCAAGGCAATCAAATTTCTTCGGCTGTATTCTATCCCTTCTGAATTATGCAAGTACATACTCTGTCAAATCAAATGAAATATTTAAGTCGAATCCCTATATACATTATGCCAAAGCGAATAAAATATTTTCAACATTACAAAGGAAATCACGTATCAAAGTCATCGGCAGGGCATACACACTGATACTATTAAACTACAATCAGATCAACCAGGCAAATCACTTGTGATCACTTTAGTTTTCATCATGCTAAACATCATCCACACTCTAAAAAAAAACTGCTCAATTTGAGTCAAAATGTTACTCTTTTGAGTAGTCAAGAGGGAACCACCCGACTTTTGAGTAAACTTTACTCAGCATGTGTTGAGTAACAAATTGACTCATCTGTTGAGTAAAAATATTACTCAATAAAAGACTAAATCTCTACTCAGTTTGAATGAGTCAACCTTTACTCAATATTTACTCCTTTGTTGAGCGGTTCCCTTTTTTACTCAGTACTGGGTAGAAACGTAATCAACTCATGTCGAGTAAGAAACTGCTCATGAGTTGAGCCAAATTTTACTCAATTAACGAGTACATGTTTTGACTCAAATTATTTGAGCAATTTTTTGCTCAAATATTGAGTATGATGTTATCTGGGTAACGCTTAGTTGCTCAATCAATATTGAGTAAAAACATTGACTAAGTTAAGTACATGTTTTTTACTCAATACTGACTAAAACAAAGGTGGATTCAACTAGGGTTTTAACATTTTGAGTAAGGGTTTAACTTAACCGCTGATTAATATTGTTCTTTTTTTTAACAGCTGTTAAGTAACCATTATTTGTCAATAGAGAATATAAACCATAATTTTGCCTGATTTCTAAATTTAGCATTGATTTGAAGTTCTTCATTCACACACTATGCAAATAACATAAAGTCAACGACATTTTAAATTCAGTAACATAATTTTTGGACTTTAATTTCCCAAATCAGTTTGAATCACAGTGAAAACTCAGAGTTCTCTCATCAAAGAAAGAATCTCATTATTAGTCCATCTGTACTAGGGTCAATGGTTTAATAAGATCCTTAGTACGAATTCCATGAATGAAACGATCAAAGAAGTCCCATATGACAGCTGCCTGGGCAGGGTAATCCAGCTGTAGTACTTGAAACATCTTGAAGCAGTAGTCAACTGCTGCTGTCAATGAAGAGCATGAATAGGCGCTTCTCTCGAGGACTACATAACACTGTCCTGGCTTTCTCGGTGCTCCTCAAAGCACCAACAAAAACAGTGGGCTTCTTCCCAATGTGTCACAATCATCTATCTCAGTTCTTTCGCATCTTTCTGCACGCGCACATGCATGCACGAGACATGCACATGGCGGACAATGAAAGAGAACAAAATATACAGTTCCTTAGGTAGACAAAGGAACATACAGCTGCAATTATGTAAAAATGTGTAGAACAGGTGTCACATGCATATTGACAGCTAGTTGAACTTTCCATCGATCCAACTTTCACTCGCACCCGAGGTAAATTCGGGTAAGAGATCAATGTTGAGTTATTTATCACCTGCCGCCGCGTAATACCCAACCGTAGTTTACTCAAAATTGACACAAACGAAGTTCTTACTCAATGTTGAGTCATTGATTTACTCTTTATCGAAGGTAACAAATTACTCGGATGACGAGTAGGCCTACCACTAAAATTGACTTCTTACTCCAGCTTGAGTACTGAATTGCTCATTTGATCAGCTTGTTTTACTCGGCACAATTTACTCGCTGACATTAAGAGTGCACAGACAACACATTAATTTACATCACACCCAAATGGCGTTAGATGACGTCAAGAACGTACTGCTGTATTAAACATCAGAGTAGATCAACGACGCAAAGGTCCGTATAGAGTACCGAAGCTGTGACATCATAAAAATCTATTTTTAGAATTTCTAAATTTAAACTTCATTTTCCGAAAGAGCATCAGAAAATAATGTCCAAATGTCGAAAACCAATTGAATATGTTAGGTATGGGCTGAGATATGGCCATTTGAAAAAATATATTTCCAATAGGAAGTCAGTGTTATTTTGCTCTGGTTCGTACAGTTTTGAACCAGATCAAAAAAACACAGAGTTCCTATATACATTCTCAAGAGGGCAACAAAAAGTTACTCATTTTGTGCTATGTGCTAAAAGACTCACGTATTTTCATTTTTGTATACTTTTTAATGACAACCTGAAAGCTTGCCTGATGCTTACCCGGCATAGCAACAAGTAATGTATGCAGACTGGATTTAAAGTATTGTAGTTTATTCATCAATTAACAGGTTAATGGAATAACTCGTCACTATAGGTCCACAGGATAGAAACATCCATATTAAAATTTAAATATGTTAGTACAACGGTCTATTAAAAGCTGGTATATCCTCAGCTTTTTCTCTCTTCTTCTTTTTATACAGGCGGCATTCGACTACGCTTTCAGCATGGCACCAAATGTCGTAAAGCAGAGGTACAACGAACGAGGGTACAGCATGGAGTTTATGGATGACAACGAGCTTCTAACGGGACAGGACTGGGTCGACAGCACTGTCGAATTCACTACGCTACCCGATGGTACACTACAGGTAATGAAATCTTTTTGCAATGACGAACCTTCGTCATTGCCTTGTTTTCGTTCACATTCTGCCCAATTAATTGCAATGACGACCTTCGTCATTGCCTTGTTTTCGTTCACATTCTGCCCCATTAATATTTTCCTTTTCCTTGTTTTCCTTATCGTCCAGAAATCCCATTCGTTTTGCACGTAGTGTTTGTTATTCCTAGTTAGGTGCTTTTCTCATGTCCTTTTCCTTTGAAATTTCATAGGCATAGTCTCTAACATCTCATCAAGGTCACTACATTCTTCGATTTTCGAAATTACTCATGCATAACCGTCCAGGCGCCATTATGTCCGTTTCTGGTCCATTTTAAGACCTTTCTTTCTTCCTTCCTCTCTCCACTATCCTAGATCCTACAAACTTCTAACAAATTCCTCTAGATAGTCTAAGAGATGTTCTTTCATCTGCGACGTATAATTTGACCTTCAAAATGCCATCTTCGTACTCAAAATTCAAATCTGAAACTGACTCCGTCAAAAATCTCTCAAATTCTTGAAAAATGGACCCCTAAAAATCTAAAACTGCCATAACTTTCTCATATAAATTCCGTTTTATGTTTAAATTTCACATTATCCTTATCTCATAATTGCACATAGCCATGCCAAATTTCATGCTCCAATTACTATGCAAAACATAAATAGCGCCCTCTAAAGTTCTGGGAATTGGCTTTCTTTCTGTGGCCGTATCTCCATAATGGCTTGGCAAAACCGTACCCTTTTTTGGATTTAGATACTTGAAGATATGCCCTTTCCAGCCATATACAAAATTATATACCCTAACACTGACCAAATTTGAGAAAAATGCCCTCCAAATTCGCTATTTTCGAGAAAATTCCAAAATAACTTCAACTTGCTCTAAAATGGCGATCTTTATACCTATTTCAATGAAACTTGGCAGATATATGTATCCATATACGTGACAACTGTCTGCCAAGTTTAGTAAATTGTAATGCCTTCTTCGCCAAGTTATCGCCCAAAATGATGAATTTACTATGCTTTACGTAATAGCGCGTTTGATGCGTGCATTACGTTTTGCGCAGATAACAATGGTTTCAAACTGACCGCACTGAAGTGCCCTTTCGAATGATACCAAGTATGGTATATGTTCACGCAGAAAATTGTGAGTAAATCGCATTTGAACAAGGGTCACTATACGAATTCCGCCGAGTTTCCGCCCTATTATAACACGTTTCGGCCATGACGTCATTTTTTTTAAGACTGTTATTCGGTTGTGTTAGTATGGGCGGCCGTTCGTGCCAAAGCACGCGTCGCAACATGTTCATCATGCACCAAGTCCTATTGGTTTTGCACGCAGTGCTTGCGAGCTCTTTCTAGATCCCTTTCTCTACTCCAATTCCCTTCAAAATTCGTAGGCGTAGTCTCTAGCATTCTTTCAAGGTCACTAAATTCTTCGTTCTCCGGAAACCCTCATGCGTGACCGTCCAGGCACCATTTTTCCCGTTTCGGGCCGTTTTGGTGACCTTTCTTTCGCCCTAACTATCTCCAATATCACAGAAGCTACAGACTTCTTACATATTGCTCTGGATATTCCGAGAGTAGCTCCTTCGTTTGACACGTAGAAACATGGCGTCATTGCACGCACATCGTTGTGACACGATTGCATTTCTAGTATTCTCCTTTTCCTTATCGTCCGAAAATCGCATTCGTTTTGCATGTAGTGCTTGTGATTCCTAGCAAGGTGCTTTCCTCATGTCCTTTTCCTTTCAAATTTCGTAGGCATCGTCTCTAACATCTCATCAAGGTCACTACATTCTTCGATTTTCGAAATCACTCATGCATAACCGTCCAGGCGCCATTATGTCCGTTTCTGGTCCATTTTAAGGCCTTATTTTATTCCTTTCTATCTCCACTATCCTAGATCATACAAACTTCTAACAAATTCCTCTAGATAGTCTAAGAGATGTTCTTTCATCTGCGACGTATAACCTGACCTTCAAAATGCCATCTTCGTACTCAAAATTCAAATCTGAAACCGACTCCGTCAACAATCTCTCAAATTCTTGAAAAATGGACCCCTAAATAATCTAAAACTGCCATAACTTTCTCATTTAAATTTCGTTTTGTATTTAAATCTCACAGTATCTTTATCTCATAATTGCACATAGCCATGCCAAATTTCACGCTCCAATGGCTTTGCACAACATAAATAGCGCCCTCTAAAGTTCTGGGAATTGGCTTTCTCTCTGTGGCCGTATCTCCATAATGGCTTGGCAAACCCGTACCCTTTTTGGGATTTAGATACTTGAACATATGCCCTTTCCAGCCATATACAAAATTATATACCCTATCACTGACCAAATTTGAGAAAATTGCCCTCCTAATTCGCCATTTTCAAGAAAATTCCGAAATAACTTCAACTTGCTCTAAAATGGCGATCTTTATACCTACATCAATGAAACTTGGCAGACATATGTATCCATATACGTGACATCTCTTTACCAAGTTTAGTAAAATTTGAATATGTCAGCGCAAAGTTATCGCCAAAAATGATGAATTTACTATGGATTACGTAATAGCGCGTTCAATGCGCACAATACATTGCGCGCAGTTAACAATGGTGTCAAACTGACCGCAATAAAGTGCCCTTTCGGATGATACCAAGTATAATATATGTTCACACAGAAAATTGTGAGTAAATCGCATTTGAACAAAGATCACTACACGAATTCCGCCGAGTTTCCGCCCGAACCTAACACGTTTCGGCTATGACGTCATTTTTTCAGACTGCTTTTCGCCCCTTAAACGTCCTTTTTTTTCCTTGAAAATTTGCAGTGACATGCCGAGTTCCAATACGCAGGGCACCTCATGGCCGGATTTTTGAAATTGGTCAAGGGGGCCATTTAAGACGCCATTTTGTCCTATAAATCTATTTTACATCACGTGTTTCGATAGGATTATCATAGAAAAAAAGAGAGTAGTTTACAATAACAACCATGAAATTCTCTTTCTAATGATACCAAATACGGCCCATAAAGAGACGTAAAGAGAGAGAGAAAAAACAATTTAACTCCGGTCATAATACAGATCCTGCACGTTTTCCGCCCATTCATTACACGCATTGTCTATGGGGCATACCGGGTTCACGCTTTTGGCCCCCAGAACGAACTTGATTGCAATGTCAAACATGCACCAAATCCCATTGGTTAATTTGTGCACGCAGTGCTTGCGAGCCCTTTCTAGGTTCTTTCCCCTATCCCAATTTCTTTCAAACTTCGTAGGCATAGTACCATCCCATCAAGGTCACTGTTGATGCCTTTCTTTCGCCCTACCTATCTCCAATATCACAGAAGCTACAGACTTCGTGCAAATTGCTCTGGATAGTCCGAGAGAAGCTCTTTCGTTTGACACGTAGAAACACGGCGTCATTGCACGCACATCGTTCCGACACGATTGCATTTCTAGTTTTCTTTCTTTTTTCGTTCTTTTTTTCTTGATGTGTTACCGTATTCAAAAGCAAAACTGCGAATTGCATAAATCTGACTTGTTAGACATAATCTGCAATAAATATATAAACGCATTACGGAATTGGCCTACTGGTTACTCGGTGACCCGACATTTGTTCCTACGGCACTAGACCTGTTCACTACTTGATACTTGATGAGGTAATCCTAGCTGAAGCAGCTTGTCCAAGCTATACTGGGATGGGATGTGTTGTGACAGCAGGTGAAGGTGCAGACAACAAAAGGGTGTACAATTTCTATATACAGTAAAACAGTGACGTGCAAGTAAAAAATCATGCTCCTGTATGGTTTACAGCATTCTGGAACCTACAGGAGATTCCAACCCTCTGATGACAGGGATTGCGGTCATCTGGAAAGCAGCAACTGTTGGGACAGTAACTGCAGTGGCCATGGGTTTCCCAACTGTATGCATTACTTTTTGACATGAAAAGTTGCTCTTTGCAGCTCAACGCTTGCCAGAGCTTGCCAGACATAGTAACAAATAAAGTATGTAAAGTGGATTTCATCTTTGGAGAGTCATCTAGCATATCAGGTGAATTAATGGTTGGTAACCAGGGGTTCCGGAGAAAAACATATTATAATAGTAAACAAGTCTATTCCATGATTACGTGCACTGTTTCATTTTCAATCGTTTTTTTTTCTTCCGATGTCACCTTCACAATTCTGGTCAAAGACCACACAAGTCTCTGACGCAACCAAACGTCAGGCAAATGACGCACAGTGTGCGCTCAGTGTGCAACGAGGCATTACAAACATACCGCCATGAGCGTCGGGTACCGGTGCAGTACAAAACGCCAGCAGCAATATTAAAACAATCATAAACATCATTATACGGTGGCGTTGCTACTAGGTACAAGCATAGACCTACTATGGTACAAGGGATGCGGGCATGGAGGTGAAAAGGGGGGGGGGGTTGAGAAAATGCGGGAAACGAGAAAACGGGAGAAGGGGGAAGGGTGAGAGAAAGAGAAAAAGACAGAAAGATAAAATGAGTGGCATAGACCACCCCCCCCCCCGTGCCCTAGCCCGGCCCGCCATTAATGAGTAGCCTTGTCAATTCGCATATCAATTTCCGCCAAAGACTGGGGCGCCCCCCCCCCTCAAAGGGTGAACTTACACTACGCTACAATCACATTTAAAACAATCTGTATCAATATTATCAATGTTATCAATGTTACGGTTATATCTATCTATCTATCTATTTATATATATATATATATTCATCTATCTAATCGTCTATCTATCCATCTTTCTTTTTTTCTGCAGGTTGCATCGGGTTCCCTGTACACTCACCCTAACTATCCTAATGAGATATACGCGGGCATGCAGTACTGCAAGCTCATGTCCCCTCACCGAGCAATGGAGTGGATTTATGTCGACTCGCTCCGCTTGGTTCAATAGATTTTGATTTCAATTGAATCCCGATTCACACGAGGCGTTATTACACTACTGCCAATTACGTAAAACAATTTATTGATCGATAATATAATTCATGGGCATGGAATAAGCAGTGAACGTTAGATGATTGCCACATATTTCAACTTTTGGCTTTTATCGATAGTGATGGCTACATTGTTCATAAAGTTAAACGTAGGTAAGGCAAGATGTCTTGAGTGAAAATGACTAGGTTTGATTATTACTGCTTATTTAAGTAGTAAAACAGTTGTAACATTAGTTGCATGTCATACATACTATAAAGGGAATAATACGAAATTTCGTCTCTGCTGTTGTCTTATTCTTAAGTGTCAAATTAAAGATTTTTGAACAATTAAAAGACGTCTAGCGTTTGTGCCGATACCAAAAAAAAATGCAATCGATATCAATTATTTTGCAGTCAATAGCAATAAAATACGTGAAAATCCCAAATCTGTTTTGATTCATGCTTTAATTTACTGTCACTATCCTAATGAGATATACGCGGGCATGCAGTACTGCAAGCTCATGTCCCCTCACCGAGCAATGGAGTGGATTTATGTCGACTCGCTCCGCTTGGTTCAATAGATTTTGATTTCAATTGAATCCCGATTCACACGAGGCGTTATTACACTACTGCCAATTACGTAAAACAATTTATTGATCGATAATATAATTCATGGGCATGGAATAAGCAGTGAACGTTAGATGATTGCCACATATTTCAACTTTTGGCTTTTATCGATAGTGATGGCTACATTGTTCATAAAGTTAAACGTAGGTAAGGCAAGATGTCTTGAGTGAAAATGACTAGGTTTGATTATTACTGCTTATTTAAGTAGTAAAACAGTTGTAACATTAGTTGCATGTCATACATACTATAAAGGGAATAATACGAAATTTCGTCTCTGCTGTTGTCTTATTCTTAAGTGTCAAATTAAAGATTTTTGAACAATTAAAAGACGTCTAGCGTTTGTGCCGATACCAAAAAAAAATGCAATCGATATCAATTATTTTGCAGTCAATAGCAATAAAATACGTGAAAATCCCAAATCTGTTTTGATTCATGCTTTAATTTACTGTCAACAAAGTAATACCGACTGAAGTGTATTTTTGTTGTTGTGATATCTTAAAATGTATTTTTTTTTTGTCACACTTTGTTTCATCACTGTTGTTGTCGTTGTTCACTTGCCGTTGTTTCGTGTGTGTGTTTTTTTTATAGATACACACCAATAAATCTTAATCATTGTTGAATAGAGCAATCGACTTTTGGCTCCTTTTGTTTTCTAGTGATTTTGTGATGTTTTGCCTGCCGTTATAATTATTTACGCTTTGTTAGCAGCAAACTTTCGGACAGGTCGTGCAAGCATAATTTTTAAAAAGTAGGTCGACCGTCGCTGAAAAGTGGAAATAACAATTGAAATCTGTTGAGTAAAAAAGAAAAGTTCGGGTGATTTTTTTCACCTGAGATTCCAAGTGAGATAATGATCTTGGGCAAACAATGCAGGTGCTCGTATGAGGTCAATTGTAAGGTTAAACGGTCTCAGCGGGTAGAACAACATTCACTGGGTGCTACTCCCAGGCTTACACAAACATTATAAAACCCATGTCTGGAAAGGTGTCATGATGCAATATGTTCTGGGACTACATTTTCTCAAAGTTTCGATAAAGTCGTATTGCCACCATCATTGATGTTGAAGTTGACTCTTTTTTTTCTGAGGGATAAAGAAATAAATGTGGATGATTTCAGGAGTGGTTAAAGGGGGAGCTTGGGGGGTCGTACATGCATTTCCTACATGTGCCTGGCAAACTTTTATTTTGGGATGAGACGGGGAGTTGAGGAAATTTGGGGAGAACTCTATAACCACCACTGGAGTTTTCTTTGGGTCTTCCCTGATCATCCCCGCTCCAAACCCTGTCGAATAACACTACCATATGAAATAGGGGTAATGAGATAAAGATATATTTCAGGGAGAGGGTGGGAAGGACACGAGCCCCTCCCATAATATCAAATATCATCCGCCCACTATACCAAAGCGCCTCACTGCCAGGGGCGACGATCCCGGGGGGACACGTCCCCTCTCAATTTTTTTGGGGGATCGCCCCCCCCCCCCCCTGGAAAATTTGAAAAAAATGCCAAAAAAAGTGTATAGCAAATACTGCCTAAAGACTGCAACAAACTTTAAGCTCTGGGGGGCCCCAAGAGTGCAGCGTTTAGACAAATGAAATGCAAAAATCTTCCCGCTCGGCATCTACGCTCCCTCGGATAATATCCTTCAAAGTGTACAAGTTATTATTGTAGAAAGTGAAGTGAAAAAAGTATCATTACTGCTTGTTTTTACACTATAGTTTTGCTAAGGAATGAAATTTGTTAATAATACAACCTATGGCAGCTCCTGGATGCTCATCTGATCGTAATTTAATGTTTAAAACCCCTTAGATTCTGAGGGCTATGCCACCTCTACCCCACTCTAATTAGTGACGTGCATGCCAGTGTCACAAATAAGGTATACAAATATACCCATCCGACCGTAATTAAATGCCTAAAACCCCGAGCTTCCGGGGCTCCGGCCCCTGGGCCCTAAGGCAGGCCCTGGATGCTCATCCGACCGTTATTTAATGCCTAAAACCCCTGAGCTTCATGTGGCTACGCCCCTGAACCCTACGCCAATTTACTTTCCACTTGCTTCGCTCGTTTTGCTCTGCCTGATCGTGAATACTTTAGACCCCCCCCCCCCCCCCCCACTTTGAAAAACGTTTCGCTAGGCCTGCATGTAACATGTAAGAGCGGGTTTTTTCTGCACCCCCCCCCCAACATTTTTGCTCATTACGCCACTGCTTCCTCGTCCCTCGCATTTCGTCGTTCCCCCCCCCCCCTACCCGGTCATGAAAAGAAATCGCCGCCCCTGCCCACTGCACACGTTATGCCACTGAATGTGGATATGTTTATCAATGTATGTTTTCCCGATGAGTAGTTGGTTTAACCTCGAGAAGAAAAAGCAGATAAATAATGTATTTTAAACCAAAACTTCCTCTCTATACACAACACATCGCACAAGGATATTCCAAAACTGCGACCAAACAGACTTCCCATAAAGCAACGTAAGGCAATTTAAATCGGCTCGTCTATCACGTATTGAACTATCAAAATACCTTCACATTCAATGTTTCTACAGAGCTTTATGACTAGGTTACATGTAAAAGCTAGTCATAAGGCTCAGTTTGCCAAGGTGTTGCATTTATTTCAAGCTTGGTGACAAACAACTTTTCGAGGACATTGTATCTAAAAGGATGACTACAAGTACAATGTGCACAATTTGGAATAAGATTAGATTTGATTCATTAAGAGCTACCTTCCTAAAATATCAGGGAGAGAAAAGGAGAGTTATTATCTAAATAATATTGAGGAGGAGGAGGAGGAGAAAAAGAAGCATTACATAACGAAAAGGATATTGAGCTAAACACTTAGAGAATTAAGGGGTAGAGTAGATGCATAGGGGAAGGAAAGTTGTGTCATATGATTAATCAAACATAACTTTATAAAAACAATTAATTTAATTCGACACAAATTCAATTACAAGTCGGTATGATTACTTCAAATGCCATATAAAGTGAAAGGTTTCTTTAAGATTAAAATGTTGCTTTCATAAAAGCGTCAAGTGCCATAATTTTGAAGCTGTAAACTAAATCAAGACGCACAACCACAAATAGTATAACTCATATAGTTATACTATCGCAATACAATCATATGCCTTATATTCATTTATCCTTTACATTTTTGGTCCAATATTTATGATACGGAAACGCGTGTCTGATAATCTAATAAAGTCGACCAATCCCTCTAGGGGCTTTCAATTAAGGACTTAATAGACATGTTTCCACCCTCTAATGGGAAGCACAGCATTGGTTATTATCCTAGCTAAATAGGATGGCATAATTTTCACTTCAAACGACCAGGGAGCCCGAAAATGAAGCCAACAAAAGGGACTTTAATGAAGAATGACCAGTCCAGCGGCGGAGGCGAGCTTTCTCGCCGAGACGCAACTGAGCGCAGTCCCCGAAACTCCGGGGGTCGCGTCTGCAATGCGACCTGGTTGGGGAGGTGGTCCGAGTTGAACTTGGATCTTGAGTGACCGGTAACACTTGAGGAATTTCAAGTCCGGTAAAATGTCCTTGCGTGCCCTTAAGCAGAGAAAGAGGTGATGGTGTACTGTGGACTCTTCATAAGTTAATTGGGTTTATGTGTTGGGCCCAGCCGGATCGTACATGCTTTGAAATAACTTTTTTAGGAAATAATAATTAAGAGATGTTAAAACGCCACAAAGACGGAATATTCTTTCCCCCTCTACATCCTCCCGGCCACCCCTCCCCTTCCCCCTCCCATGTCCTTTCCCTCCCCCTGTCTATCCATTCCACTCTATACAATTTTCTCTACGTTTCATCCTGACATCCTTCACTACGCCTACTGAGGATATGAGTATTCTCTTAACCCGCCTCGCCCCCCTATCACTCCTAAGAGTCATGCAGCACATACAGTAAATGAAATAAAACAATATGAACAATCAAGAGTAGAGGTGGACAGGCGACAGGCCTGAGGTAGAGAAAATGCACGAAAGCTTAAAGGTACTATGTCCCTTTTGCAGCCATCCTCAAATTCTGTAGAACTTTGCAGGAATTATGAATATGTCATGTATGTCCTATCTGTAAAATTTAAACGTTAGCAGTGTCCTCATATTCAAATTATGCAAGGAAACACGTTTACTTGCTAGACTTCACTGTCAGACACTATTGAGTGACTGACTGGCTTTTTTCTTCTTTGGTAATAACATACATGAAAAGAGTTGTAAAGGGTACATGAGCATTTGTCTACATCAATAACCCACTTCTTGTGATGGCCAAGATTAAACTGATTGAATATTTGCGCAGCATAAAACGTATGACCATTCGGTACAATTGTCTGAAAATCAAGACTATTACTTTTGGGCTCTATAGCCCTAAAGTCGATTTGACAACTAATAGTCGTTATTTTCCGACTGGAAGACATTTTCAAGCCCCACCTTTTTTAGGGGAGTTCTAAAATAGTATTATCTTTCAAATGCAGTTGGAATTTAACTTTTTCATTTTTTTGGCCTGCAAATGGGACATAGTACCTTTAACCCGCCTCACCCCTCCCACTACTACTCCTAAGAGTCATGCAGCACATACAGTAAATGAAATAATATAGTATTAATGACTGCTTTGAGAGAAATAGTTGTTTTATACGCTCAAGGGAAGATTAGAATTGTGCTATTACCCGAGGCGTGCCGAGGGCAGTAGCACAATTGTAACCTTCCCGAGAGCTTATAAAAACAACTATTTCTCGAATATTAAAGCAGTCATTAATACTTTTATATGCCGAAAAAAATATTTTTAAAAAATTATAAAAAAAATTAAAAAAAACTTTTGTCGAAGATGGGATTCGATCTCTTTGCGTACAAAAGATGATGTATCTAGACAGCGCCTTAAACCACTCGGCTATCGCGCTCTGTTACCATACATGGCAGTTTTTTCTTATATATACATTAAAATGAATTGGAAACGGCTTCGCGTGGCGGATGCTTCGCGGCTGCTCCATTAAACAGGCCCTTCTTTTACTTTTGCAATGCATATTGGCACGAATTTAGATCAAGATCTATCGGCAGATGTTGTTTTTTTGTTTTTGGAAGTTTATTTTCGTCTTCATGTCAACAATGCAAGATAAATTTGTCGGTAAGATCGATCGAGATTCAATTGTATTGAAATTACCGACCAATTCTTCGCACACGTACGGTATCCTCGATCGCTCAGACCATTTTTTAACATGTAAACCTATGGGGTAACCATGGAGACTGACCTATTTTCCCAATAACCATGGTTATTGGGATTTTGAACTGTTTTTTAACCATGGTTACCGGGAATTTTCGGGAACAGTTAAAGTTTATGAATGCAATTTCGACCAATCAGATTGCTGGATTACTTAAGTGAGGTATATAAAACAATATGAAACATTAAGAGAAGAGGTGGACAGGTGACAGGCCTAAGGTAGAGAACATGCACGAGAGCTTAATAGAGGACTAGTCTAGACGAAAATAGAATAAAAAACAACCAAGGCCAGTCGTACTATACTTTGATTTGTAAATATGTTTATTTGTTCATATTATCACATGTTTATCTTTGTTTGTATAATCATATGTTTATCACTATTCATATTATAACATATGTATCATTGCTATATACTATT